ATACAGCACCTCCGTTCATGACGGAGAAATTTGGAAGAATTTTAAATCTTCTTAAATTTGGCATGGCAGAATAATAACTGATATCAAGGTGATATACACCAGTAGTGATTGCTGAAAGGTAGGTTTATGTACAAGTACAATATGTCTTATTAGTAACCAAAGCCACACAATTATTATGACAAAGAGTGAGTAAATAAAATGATTAGTTTTTAGATACGACCTTTTGATAATACTGAGCTTGTATTAATGTATCAAACAGTTTGTGTGTTGATTCTAACCTTAATATCACGTCCTCCTAATAGTGCCGACTGGTTACTAATATCCGACAATGGTTCATCAGGCAAGATTTCCTTCAATTCTGTACATGTTCCATCATCATGTACTATGTACCTTTGTCCCTTGTCAAAAGCAGATAGCACGTCTTTTACATTATACACGGTCCTTTCTCTTGGTGTATTTACAGGATAGGCTAGTTCTTTAGGATCAATAACTAACTCTTTTACCTCTAGACTGGAGCAGGAATCTTTATAAACACTCATTACCTCTCCTATCACATCTCTTCCTACTGACATCATAATGTCTTCTCTAAAGGACATCATTACTAGTACACACTGGCTCTCATCCACAATCTCTACCAGTGATCCTACACCATGACCATTAGACCAATATAGTCCGTTTTTCCAAAATGTACAACGTCGATTTAACGTGTCATCTTCTTGAGGTAAAGCCATTCTGTAAGCAAGATGCAATGAGAGGACGTGGAAGTATCGAGGAGGAAAGAAATGATGTTTACTAGTACACTGTAGACACCATCCAAACTGGTACACTTGACTAGTCATCTCATCAGGTCTATCAGTAGACAAAAGACATGGAAAGAACAACAACCTTTCTCCTCTTGTTTCCCTCCCTCCCTGCTCCTCCTCTTCTACTGCTAACTGATGGAGGTTTGTCATTCTTAGGAAAGATGGATCCATTTCTTGACAGAGTTCCATGCTCTTCAGGAAACAGATCAACATGTCAGGATCATAGTTAGGGAAGAGTTTAGTCAGACCAGGCACACTAACAATACCAGTATTGCTAGCAATGACAACATGTTCTTTAAATGTCTCTGGAGCAAAGAGAATCCCATCCACCTCAGTAAGTAGTATACCCTTATTCACCACAACCCATACCTTGTCTTCACTTTTGAGAACACTTATCAAACCAATCGACTGCAATGAATGAAGAGAATCCAAGATGTCTTCCCTTTTATCTGGTATAACGTAATTGTCCTTACCAGCAGACATTACATCAGACAGGGTCAGTATATTCTCTTTTCTTTCCACCAGTAGTCGGTACATTTCATGATCATAAAGATTTGATTTATTCTTTCTTGTACCACGAACGGACTCACAGGCACTAGACAATTTATCAAATAAGGAATCCACACCACTCCCACCAAGCTTACGACAATCCAAAAAGATGGCACTATCACACCTTTCCCTTACAATAATATCATGCATTTCTTCCTTTCTTCTTCTCCTTTCAAAAGGATTACTAAATATGTCATCCACATGACTTACTATTACAAAAACATGGCATTGATTAAGAGCTTTTTGTGCTTCATTTCTCACAACTGTTAGCCACTGATGAAGCTGTTTGACTGCTTCCTTCTCCAATATATTGACTACTATCAGGAACACACCACCAGAACCTTGTAAAAGATTTTCAATGACGGCACTGTGACTGGAATAGTATTCTGAATGACCAGCAAAATCATGAAGAATGATGTTACCCAGTGTCCTGTGTTGTAGTTTATAAGGAATGATGCCAGCAGTACAAGGCACTACCCCTCCAACATTTCTAAAAAAACCAAGAACAATAGGGCCAGTAGCTGTGTCATTGATGACATGACTAAGAGTACTTTTACCAGCTCCAGGATTACCCACAAGGAGAACGTTAACATAAGAATCAATCGGATGAGATACTTTAATGTTACCAAACTTCTTGAAGATAGCAATGGCAGTATCGCTATCATACATTCTTTCTTTAGCTAGTTCTAATGGCGTCCTCCCATAATTGTCTTTAGCCAAAGGATCACAATTAACAGTTGATAAAAAGTATTCAACAACTTCAGATTTACCCTCCCTGGCAGCATGATGAAGAGATGTTTGTCCAAGACTATCAGTGACCATTATATTACAGCTACATTCAATAATGAGGTACTTTACAATATCTATGTGTCCAACAGCAAGATGAAGAACAGTCCGACCATGAGCATCACGATATTGTTTGTCCATTATATCACTATTGATGTTAATGACCATACACTTTACCATATTAAGTAATCCTTCACTAACTACATAATGAAGAATAGGCACATTAGCCTCAATAGTGATCATTATATCACATTTACACTCATTAACGAGGTACTGTACAACATTTATGTGTTTACGTTTAACAGCATGATGAAGAACGGTCTGACCACTAGTAGTACGATATAGTTCATCCATTATATGACCATTGATGCTCATGACCATACACTTCAAGACATCAAGTAATCCTTCTCTAGCTACATAATGAAGAACAGGCGTCCTGTCATACCTAGTAGTAATACCCATCATTGGATCACAGCCACACTCAGTAATAAGATATTCCACTATATTAACATGGTTACCCTTAGCAGCGGTATAAAGATAGGATAGACCATTATAGTAGTAGTATTTACGTTGGTCAAAACGGTAAAGAGAGACCGCGATATCTCTTGTAACATCTAACCAGCCGTTACTTACAGAATAATGAAGCAAGCTACGCTCATCATAACAGTCCCGATAAAGTACTTCAGGATCCTGTAAACCCAGTAACCGAACCGCTTCTTTGTGATCTCTTCTTTTAAATGCATCCAGACATTGAGCTTCTCTCGAAGTTGCCATATTGATCGAGATGTAGATATTCACCACAGCAGACAAGTTATCCTTTTTATCTTTTTACCCAGGCTGAGCAGGCTGCCAGGCTCTCTTTCGTGAGGAATCAGGATTGATATTTGATAATAATTTGATACAGGAAGTCAGGACTCAGGAGTCAGGAATCATGCACATGCATGCAGCGCAGAAGCTAGCAAGTGACCTCTATCACGTGATTAAAACTGTTACCATGGAAAAGTTAAACAAAAGACAAAAGTTTAGACCGTATAACTACACAAGATATCGGATGAAAGATAGGAAAATAGGATATAGATTCAGTTATTGGTATTGTGCTGGCTGCATCACTGATCGTATAAACCTCTCCTCCCTTCAGTCAGTATTAGAAAACTGGCAGTAAAGACTCGTTGAAGCGGACTGGAGCCCTCTTCCTGTCTATAATAACAAGGACAAGAGAATACAGTGTATCTACCTTACATACATACACACACCCACTGTAACCTAAAGGGTCTCCTCCTCCAATACCAATGGGAAAGATAATTAAACATACAGAGATTATACCTAGTCCTCCTCCATCCCCTACTCCATGTACCATTAGACTCTTTTACATTAAGTAATTTCTTGGTGTACTGATACAGCTCAGTAGGGGAGCCTGTATAGGAGATTGGTGTCATCAGATTCTATTGTACTCTCTAGGGATAATTATCATAAAATGACTGGCTGGTTCTCTTTTAATACTCCTAGACAATCAGTCATGGACACTCAGTCATGCATCAGACATCAGTTAACCTTTTGCTGGATCAGTATGACACTGGCCATATACTAGGGGCCAGTGTACAGTATCTTATTACTGTCAATACAATACACCTAAGTTAATAACAGCACAGATTAATTCTATACTGGACTATAACCGCTTAAACTAGGCATCAATATAAAACAGGGTGAATTAAGTATGAATCAATGTGTATCAGTATCAGTCAGTATAATTATTGATTACTTCAATAGGAAACAGTTCTCTTGCTTCTACTTAATGTCATCTTAGAACTGTTGGACCTCTCAAGGAAATAACTAGAGAATAATAAATAATAACATAAGTACACATAAACTATACATAATATAAGTGTATCAGGAAATAAAAATTAATAAAAATGGAGAATTCTCTCCTTTTCATTTGTAACAAAAATTGGCCCAAGATCATGTACATGTAATTGTACCTACATAGGGAGTTTGGCCCAATTTTGGAAAAAACTTTTAAAATTCGAAAAAAAATCCAAATTAGATCGGAAACAGCTCAAACTTACTATGCAACATAAGAACACATATGTATATGCATCAGGAAAAAGTTTTAATTATAATAGCAACGACTTGCCTCCTTTTCAATATTTGGCACAACAGTACAGTGACTTTAAGCAACTTTTGAGTAACTTTTTTAAATTCATAAAAAATTAAAATTTAATTGCAAACAGCTTTGCAATGTAAGAACATGTATACCTATCAGGAAACATGATAAAAATGGAGAAATTTACTTTTCATTTTTAATTATATTTGGCAGGAACTTTGGTCTAATTTTGGGGCAACTAAAAATCAAAGTTTGTTTAGAACAAGCTTAAACTTTCTATGCAATGTAAGGACTTGTATAAATGTATCAGAAAAATACCATATACCGTACAAGACGATTTATTGGTGTGAAAAATATTTTGCAAATTTCATGGATTCCTTCCTGAATCACAAAAATAAAATCCACTAAAATTAATACAGTACCTGCATGGCATACGTGGCAGAATTCACGAAATATAATTCCCTCAAAAATAACCACTTTTACGGTATAAAAGGAAAGAATTCTCTCCTTTTTAATTTTGGCAAAATTTGGCCTGTCAGGAACTTTTTACCTGTCAGGAACTTTTTAAAAGTTTTATGGATTCCATACTAAACACTAATAATCAATAATAATAATTATTATTAA